AGAGGTGCTGCACCGTGGCAGTGGGTGAGGTGGTCACCATGTGGAGGGACCTTTGTTTATGCAGCTTCAAATGCCCTGGTGCCACATGGATATGACTGCTTTTTTATGTTCTGTTACCAAAATGACTTTAAAATTGTCTGAATATTTTGTGGTCATTAGAAAATCAGCCAAGTAAATCAAGTGTTAAAGCCCAGGCCTGCTGTCAATGTCCTCTTTGGCTTTATAGCCACTAAAGACATTGTTTCAGACGTGCTTAACTTATTTGTGTTTTCTCCTCACCTTTGTCTCCTTCTTACCAATTTGTACAGAGTACTTGGGTCACATTGCAGGATTCAGCAGGGCCAGGTAATAATAAGAACCACATCAAATAAAATCCTACTGTTTTTTTCATAGCTCGTAAATTTTGCTTTTCCACTTCCATGTCAAGGGAAATTTGGTCCTGGAGCCCTAGTAACTGTAGTTACTGGAGCAGCTTACATTCAACAGGTTTTGTCACATTTAAAAGTTTACTGCTGTTAAATAAATTTCCTGTAGAGCTCTTAATCACTGTTATACCAGAAGTTGGCACTTTTTGCCCTGGTGGGAGAGACCCATCCAGCATATTTGGACTGTAGTATCAATTGCACACAAGCTTGTAGCAAAATACCTGCATTCAATTTCCTCCCCAGACTAATGTTACCTGTAGAAGAGTTTGGGTGCTTTTTCTCAGAAGAAGGTTGAAAACCTAATTTTTTTTTAATATGTTGATTTTTTTGATCTCCAGATGAGACCTGCTAGAGCCAAGTTTGACTTTAAAGCACAGACGCTAAAGTGAGTACAGTTTGTTACTGCTGCCTTGAGTGTTCTTCCTCTGCCTTTTCCCCTAGGATGCAGCACTTATGATGTGTTATACAATTGGATCTGTGTTTTGGGAGTGCCTTTCCAGCAACTCAAAGCAAGGTGTCTGTAGTAAGGTGGGGAATAGTAGTATGAATCTTGCAGGTTGTAACCTGTAAAAGACCTTTAGGCAAAGTGCATCTGTATCTCATGTGATTTTGGGGGCAAACCCACCTTCTTTCCTGGAACAAGTAGGTGTTCTGCTCTGAAGGTGGGTGGAGCCATAAGGGAGTGCTCTTGCTGAGCGTTCCTTCTTGTGCCTTGTAAGCAGGATGGCTGGGTGAGACCTTTCTGTCACTGCTCTTGCTGGAGATGGAAAGGATTCCCCAGTGTAGCATCCCTGGTTGTGCTCCGATTTAGGAGCTGGAAGAACTGTGTTAGTCAGTAGCTTACTGTGTAAATCTGCCATACACATGGTCAGAAGAACATAGATATGCAGAACACCAGCATCCTTTTCACTGTGCTAAACATAGCCCAAAGTCAGCAAGGGAGTTAAACAGCTGCCTTGCTTTAAGCACATAGGTGGGCCCTTGACTTGGGACTTTTCTGATTCAGGACCTGTAAGGGTACAGAGTGGTCACTGCTCCTCTGGCATCTGTGAATACACCAGTGGATGTTTCTAGTGGCATTGTTGTACCTCTGAGCCCTGTTGTGGTCCCTCGGGTGAATCACACAGCACTACTTGTTCTTTTTGGGAAACAGTGCTGTGAAGAGAAGGCCTGGAAGGCCTTTACCTCTGCATGAGCCTGGAGAAGCTCTCATTTTAACATTGCAAGGGAGGGAAGAACAGAAGTCAGTGAAGGACCTGCTGTTTTTCTTCTCAGGTGCTAATGTCCTAGGAATATTTTGTTATATGTTCTATAGGTGATGATTTGTAATGATTTACACAGCATCTCCCCAACACCTCTGATAAAACTGAGGGAGATGTAAGGTGTAACTGCTGTGTCCCTTGAGCAGAACAAAGCAGGGTGCCAGGCAAAAGTAAAGGAGAGCTTGTGAAAATCATGTTAGGGAAGGCTGTGATCTCCAGAATCAAACCTTATTGATTGTGTTGATTGTTTTGGTGTGAGGACCCAAGCAGTACATTTATGAGCCTAGTACAAGCTGCCACAGTGGGAGTTCCTCAAGCTGCAGACATTCATAATTTTAACATTGAAGATTGTAGATTGAAATCCCAAGTTTTAGGCTGGGTGAGGTCCATGGTTGCTGACCAGAAGCATAACCACAGGCTGACCAGAAGCTTAATCGTTGAAAGATCAACATTGGTGTATGAGGGGTTTCATTTAACCAGCAAACTAGCTTCCACTAAAGTAATGTGTCTCTTTGGAAGGCACTTGTGACATTACCTGTTTCAAAACAGGAACTGACCACTGCTTGCCATATGCAACATGGAAAGCAGATAATGGCATCTTTTTCTTGACACCATTGCTTCTGGAGGGTGTGTGGTTAGTAGGGCCCTCATAGGCCAGGTTTTTTTGACAGGATGCCCAAAGAGCAAGAGAGTCCCTGCACATCACGATATGAACAGGATAATTCTCAACATGTAGCTTTCACTTTGGATGGAGCATGATTTGTATCAACAAGGCTGATGCAAACCTTGGTACCTAGGGATTGCTGAACAGAAACAGAGCACGTCTGTTTTCCAGTGAAGTTCTGATGGAGTGCTTGTGTTGTTAACAGGGAACTTCCTCTGCAAAAAGGAGATATTGTTTACATTTACAAGCAGATTGACCAGAACTGGTATGAAGGTGAACACCATGGCAGAGTTGGCATCTTCCCACGATCATATATAGAGGTAGCTGCTTTCCTTGCAGGTGTTCTCTTTGCTCAATCCCTTTCTGCAAGTGACCAGTTTATGGGCTTTTTGTATGTGACTCATTTGAGTCTGTTTGTTCATTCTAGCTCCTCCCACCAGCTGAGAAAGCTCAGCCCAAAAAGCCATCACCATTGCAAGTGTTGGAATACGGAGATGCTATTGCTAAGTTCAACTTCAATGGGGATACCCAAGTGGAAATGTCCTTCAGGAAGGTAGGACTTTTGTTGTGTTGATGAACTGAATCCAGACAAATGCTGAAGTTTAACACTAGTAACTTGCAATTTCCAAATGAAAGCTCCAATAAGATGAACTCTGTATTCAGGAAGGATTCCTTCTCATCACCCATGTTTTTACTCCATAGTCATTAAGTAGTGCATTACAGTGAGAGTGGTGCAGGTAGGCTAACTCAAGAAGTGCCAATTGCTTCCTTAGGGATAGCTGAGAAGATACTTTGAGCACAAGTACTGGCAGCCTGGGTCTGCAAAGCAAATTAGATATTCAGTGACATGTCTCCAGTCTGATCCTCTTCAGTGGAGATGCACACAGTCACGTGAGAATGGCAGTATAGAAAAGATGGAAACCAGGTTCACCTTCCTTTGTACTACAAGCCAAATCACTAAGCACAGGCAAGCAAGGTTCTGTGGTATTGAAGTGAGTGGCTAGACCTGACTGGAGAGTAAAGGGGTAGGAATGGGTTGTGTAATGGCTGTTCGGAGCACAGGCAGCCATGTTTAGATTAAGTAGCAGCATTTCTCCATCTCAGACAGTTTTGATGCTCAGATTAGATCTTGTCTGTCTTCCCTTTTAATTATACATGAAGGTGGGGCTTGCAGTTTATATTAAGGATCTGGAAGTCATTTCATTAGTCAGCAAAATGGAAGAGAGTATAGAGAGACCTACACCTCCCTCATACCCCTCAGAGACTCTCATAGTCAGCCTGAGACTGCTGATATCCATTTTTTTTAACTGGCTTTAACCTGCTGATGTCCATTTTTTTTAACTGGCTTTAGCACCGGAAGATTTGCATTTCTTCCTTCTCTGAACTGAAAAATATCATTCCCACCCAGAGGTTAGGGTTAGGACCACATAACTGGGAAACAGGGGAGGCTGAGCGCCATCAATTGTTTTAAGTCAGCTGCATCAAGGTTAAAAATGTGATCTACTTTGGAATGATGAAAATGTTCCTTCCCATAGGGTGAAAGGATCACGTTGATTCGACGAGTGGATGAGAATTGGTATGAAGGGAAAATCTCTGGCACCAATCGCCAAGGCATCTTCCCTGTCACTTACGTGGAGGTGCTGAAACGGCCAGTGGTCAAGAATGCCATCGACTATCCTGACCCACCAATGTCCCTCTCCCCTAACCGCAGTGTGACAGCTTCACCACAGGTATTTGGACTAGATGCAGCCAGTTATAGCACCTTGCAAAACCAAGGGATGTTTCCATTGCTGTGCAAGAAGCTATAATGAAAAAAGCTGTAGCTAAGACTAATGTTTTGTGAAGTAAAAGCCATCTGCTCCCTGCAGTGTGCTGCAACTGCAGGAAAAGGTGATGTTTCATTTACCAGAAAGGTTAATGAACGGGTTACTTGGGGATTTGGAGACTCAGGTTTTCATCTCTGATCTGTAGCTTGAATTCAGGCCAGCTTGAAAGGGCTGCAGTTCACAGCCATCTGAAAAAATTTCACTGCCAGAGATGGAATGAATTGGTGATCCAGCTCTTCCTGAGTGCGTGTTTACACTTTACAGACTGCTGTGATGAGTGAATTTTTTATTGTGATTATTAAGAGGGTATCACAGACTGTTAGAAGTCTGTAGGAGTCATTATGTTGATCCTAGTCAGCTTGAATCAAGCCATATACTTACTCCTAAATGTTCCAGCTCACAACCAAGGTTTTCAGAGACAGGGTCGGGAGAGCAGCCTGTATTATTTGAAATTGGTGCTAAATGAACTCAAGTTTTGAGAGCGGGCCAGTCTGGAATCTTCCATGAATATTAGATTCATTATAAACCATACTGCAGTTCAAACCAGAAATCAGAATGGCAGCAGGTAATTGTCTGGGGATTCCAGAATGGGTGGCAGTGAGTCTCTAAATCCCTTTGTTTTGCTTTCATCCTGCAAATACTCATGCTTGAAGGTCAGCCTATGTGTCTGGGTTGTGGCCATGAGGTTCTAGTGCATTCCCCCACTCACCCACAGGACCGAAGCAAGGTCATTCTGAGGTCAAGAGTGGAAGCAACAAAAGTGTAGAACTGGGATCAGGAGGAAGGGATATATGGTACAGGATGGATGGGAAAGGCTGCCATGACTCATGCTTGGTGTCTGTCTTGATCTTCCCTAAAAGGAGACTTTATTCTTAGCCACTGTGTAAAGAGGAAAGGCTTGTTGCTTGTTTGGGGTTCCCTGTCAAAGGGGACCTCAGCTGAACTTTTCTCTTTGAGCTTGGCAGTCTCTCCATAACTGTGGCCTGTCTGCCACCAGCTCTCTGCGAGCTTTTCCCTTTGATGGAAGGGGTTATGTCCACCTTCTTTTTGTTTCCTTTGCTATTCTTTTGATTCCTTCTCTAGTAAATCAGTTCTCTCCCTTACTTTTTTGCCTAAGTTGGCAGAGGACTGAGAAATGCTCTGATCAGTGCTAATGTAGCTGATCTCACTGATGTAGCTGATGGCAATAGCTAAGAACTCAGTTGTGTGTCCTGCCTTTATAAACATAGGACCTACTTTAATCACCTAAAGACCAAATAGCCACAGCTGGCTTTTTTGATCCCTTTCTCCTCCACAGCTTTAGCAATGAAAATTTCTTGAGGAGCACGCGTTGCCCATGCTAGAGTTGGATAAAGTCAAAATTCATTGCAGCCATGAATTCTGACTGCGTCCACAGTGTAAGCTGCTGTGGCCTCAGCTATTACTGCCAGGCCAGTCAAATGCTGCATGCTGTTACCATGAATGGTGGCTTCAGCTGCTCCCTGAGGGATCTAGGGCATATGGTATGAAGTCTAAGGTCTTCCACAAGACATTTAATGTCTGGGATCCTGGCAAAGGCTGGAGAAGGGTATTAACAGCACAGGTACAGACTGGACTCCATGGTTGGAATAGCTGTGGACAGCACATTGTCCAACACGGTGCATCTGTCTGTGGAAAACATATGCACCATGCTTGGTCACAGATCTGCTCCTCTCCACACTCACTCTCTCTCCTTTTACTTTAGCTTGGTTGTTTTGTATTTTCCTTTATTGTTTTTTTTGTTCATTTCTTTCTTTTTCTCTCCTGCTTTTGTCTCCTTCAAGTCTCCCAGCTCTGAGCTGCTCCATACACCAACTCCTCCGCCTTTGCCTTTTGCACGCCGCGCTTTATCTCCAGAGGTGCAGGCGGTCACATCTGAGTGGATTGCTCTGACCGTGGGAGTGTCTCCTAGCACCACTCCTACCATAACTCCTCCATTGCCTCCTCCACCTGAAGCCTCCCTCTCTCACACTGACTATTTCTTGCCTTCTGCTGCAGCCAGCCCTACCCCCTCGGTCAGCCTCCACCATTCTCATCTCTCTGGCTCCTCGACTCCCAGGTCCATTAAATCCCCATTGCCCTCTTACTCATCCAGACCTCAGTCCTCCGCTCGCAGTTTCTATCAGGCCACTCCACAAAGTGAAGAAAAGTTTGTCGGCTCCCCTTCTCCCAGCATGAGCTACTCTAACTCCCCTCGCTGGGCAGTGGAGAGCCCTGAAAGCATCCTCACAGAGCAGCGTGACACCACTGGCAGCCAAGCCTGGCTCCCAAAGACTAGAGAGGGCAGCAGCAACCCCGAGCAGGGTACTCATGCTGATCCCAAGATCTCTGTTGAGCGCTGCCTGAAACCATCCCAACTAGACATGCGTGTGAGCCCAGAAAAGAGACTTGTGGGTTCCTCTGAGGACAACCAGTTGTGTCAGGAGCTAATGGCTATTGTGCAGGGAGGTAAAGCAGAGAAAAGAGGCGTGAGAAAAGGTGATCTGGGAAAGTTTCAAAGCGGGGAAAAGAAGGTACTTCTCCTGCATGCGTGTGCTGCTCTGAACCCCTAATTTTGACTGGTATGTTGAGGGTTGTGCTGCTCTGCTGGCCAGGCAGAGCCAGTGGCTGCCACATGTTATTTTGATGATCCTAAGACCTTCTTCCAGTGGTCACCAGTGGCATTCACTGGACAGCAGATCAAACAGTTTCAGAAGAGGGCTTAGGAGCAGTGCGATGAAAATTATTTTAGAACAGATAACACGGGACTGACTCAGTTGGTCACATCTAATGAGGCAATTGTCCCAGATAGTGGCTATTACCAGATGTATTAGATGGAAGTATCACACAGGCCTTATGCCCGTATACTTCACTGTGTAGAATACAGGCAATTCCTTGCTCTTCAGAGATTTTCCAGTGTGTAATGGATCATCTTTGGTGATAGGATTTATTTGTTCCTCTTAAAGCCAAGGACTGAAGCGCCTTGTGAATGTCAGCCTGGCTCCTAGAATCACAGCTCCTAGAAAGCTGTCCCCTGTTGATCTTGGAGCCTGTAGTTTAGTGAACCTTAGTCTAGGGTGTGCATGACTAAGTCAGGGAGGCTTGGTTGTTATCTGTGCATTGAGTGGAATTTATAACTTCTGCATTTCCAAAATTATGTGAAAGGATCTAGCCACAAATGACAATTAGACCTAGTGATATTTTTCCCCAAGAGTTTTTAGTTGTATGTAGCTGTAACAATGAATAGCAACATAGAGGAACCCTCCAGTAGCTTCTACATGTCTTCTGCCTCCATTTTTGACAAAGGAGATTTGCCTTACTTCACAGTTCTCAGTTTATTTGAAGTCCATTGTAAGCTACAGCCAAAATAAATTACAGCACCTCCATGTTACCTTGTATAAGAGTGGAAGTTTGGAGAGCTCAAAATCATAGCATTATTAATACTGTCTTGGATGCACTGCAATAGCCTCCATGACATACCCCATCTAGCCAGCATTAAATAATGAGGAACTATGGTTTCTGAGATGACACGTCACACTGGGAAATCTTGTGACAAATTGTTTGATTTCTGCTCCAATCATAATCAGAAGTGTATTGAAAGCTGTCTAAAGACTGTGCTGTTTACCATCTGGATATATTTCTAATAGCATTTTTTACAGGCATAACCTGCATGTTTAAAACAGAATGAGTTGGTCAGCTCAGACAAACTAACTGGAAACAGCACTTGGCCTTGCATGGAGTTGCGTTTGCTGTGTGTGCATCAAATTGACTGGATAGTAGATGCTCTTATCACTAGCAGCGACTGTGATAAGAGAGTGTGTGCCAGGCTGACCAACTTTTCTTTTCTTCAAAAGACTGCAGACTCAAAAGCATTCTCTTCATCTGCTCCTCTCTCTTCCTCTGCCCTCCCTTCTTCTACTGTCGCAACACAGCCACCTCCCAGACTTACACGCAGAGTCAATAAGCCACAGGTAATCATCTTTGCTGATTACTCTTCCATTGCTTAGAGTTGTTTCCATGCCATTGTTTTGTCATGTGCTTGTTGAGCCAGTCATTGATTCCACAGGTGAGATATTTCTCCTGTCATTCAATTCAGAATTTTATTTAAAAAAAAAAAAAAAAAAAACTTCCAGGCTGTGCAGAAGGGCAGGTATGGGCAAAATCTTCAGCAGGTGCAAATCCACATAGCTCAAGTCTGAGTTTCTGCCAGTTTTTACCAGCTGAGGATCTAATTTTCTGTTCCTCCAAAGGATTAAGCCAGGGCTTATTTAGTTGTGACCTCGAGTTCCTACAGCTCCTGTGCATTATAAGGCAGTACTGGTGGCCTTGTTAGC